GGGGGGGGCTCCGCCCCCCCCAAAAAGGGACAGGGGGGGGTGTTTTGTTGCTTTTTTTTTTTTTTTTTTTTTTTCTCCTCCCCCCTCCAGGAAGACAACTAAATTAAAATCTGTGAATTGCCCAGCCCAGGCGTGCCTGCTCTCTGAGGAGGGTGTGGGTGCTCATCCTGGGGCCCCCTTTGCTGCTGGGCCACCCTGGGGAGCTGAGGGACCACCCGATCCCCACGCGGGTCCCTGCACCCCCAAAAAAAAAGGGGACAGTAGCACCCAAACAGGGACTTGAACCCTGGACCCTCAGATTAAAAGTCTGATGCCCTGCCGGCTGAGCTACTTGGGCAGCTCCTGGGGTGTGTGGGGGGGGACACTTGGGGGGCACACAGCCTTCCTCCTCCTTCTCCTCCTCCTGGATGTGCCAGCACTGCAGGGTCCCCAGTACGTGTTCCCCAAGATCCCTGTGGGCACCCCTTGTCTCTGGGGGTCCCCAGGTGCCACCCTGACACCCCTCTGCCTGCGGGACGTGGCTCCTTGTCCCCCCCTCACCTGGGTCCTGCTGCAGGGATCCTCAGTGTGTCCCCAGACACCTCCCGTGACCCCCCGAAGTGTCGCTGGGGCCACCCGGGCGTCCCTGGGCGGCTTGTGTGTGCGTCTCCCCAGCAAGAAAGGGGAGGCAGAAGCGGGGGTTAAACCCACGCATCCACGGGGTGCCCCCACATGTTTTGGGGCTTATCCCCCTCCCTGTCTCCTTGCCCCCAACCCACCCGTGCTGGCCCAGAGCCCTGCCACCCCCGGGCTCTGTCCTGGGGGGGGAATCCCCATGTGTCCTGTATTCCCCCCCAGCAACAGGAGCGGCTGGGGGGGGGAGAACATGTACTACTTTTCGGAGCTGGCGTTGACGCTCAATGCCCCAGAGAGCGGCACGGCGCCCACGGACAGCCGCCGGCGCCCCGACCAGCGCCTGATGGAGAACGGCCGCTGGGACGAAGCCAACGCCGAGAAACAGCGGCTGGAGGAGAAGCAACGCATCTCCCGCAAGAGACGCGAGGCCGAAGCCGCCAGGGCCACCGAGGACGGTAAGAAAGGGAACAAGTGGCCACCACCCCGCTCCCTGACGGGTCCCCACGGCCCTCACGCCTCCCTGTGCCCCCCCCCCAGGGACCCCCTATGACCCCTACAAGCCGCTGTGGTTCGAACGCAAGAAGGACCCCGGCACCCAGGAGCTGGCGC